CCTGTGCCCGAAAGACCTCAAAAGCCCAAAAACCCAAGAACGACTTCAACCAAGCGGGGCTTTAGGTTTTATGACGTCCAGGTTTCGGATATTTTGGGGGGGGTGGGGGGTTCAGGTCTCTTTCCCAAGTGACCTCCCAAAGTCTTTCAGCCACCCCAACCAGACTCCTTGCCCGCCAGGTATCGAGACACTGGTACCCTCGACGTGGATCCCTTATGGATCCCTCATGGAACCTGGGGTACTCGTCTAAGCCCTGGAAGAACTTTTAACCCTGAACCGGAAGACCCTCCATGGTCCTGCTCCTCCCTCTGACGATCTTTCTCTCGTATGCGACAGTTCTTCAGGTACAACTGGCGAAGGGGCAGGAATGCTGCCCTAAGCCCCAAACCCTAAGCCCTGAGCCCTAAACCCGAAACCCAAAACCCTAAACCCTGCTCAGAAAGGCATACAGGGCTTGATGGTTGTCAGGTTTAGGGTCACGGGGGGCTTACTGATAAGCATCCAAGGCTCTAAGTTCCGGCTACTTGGGTCTCTGAATACAAGGGCTGGGGGCTTTGCTGGGACCGTTTTTGTCTCGGGAAAGTCCTACCTCAACCCAAAACCCCCGAGCCACAAAGACCTGCACAACTTCAACCCCCCTAAACCCTAAACCCTAAACCCTAAACCCTAAACCCTAAACCCTCAACCATCAACCTTAAAGCCTAAACCATCAACCTTCAGCCTTAAACCCTTGAGCATGCGAACATCCAAACCTTCGAAGCGCGCTTGTAGGTTCAAGGGTGATAAGGCCTAAACCCTAAACCCTAAACCCTAAACCCTAAACCCTAAACCCTAAACCCTAAACCCTAAACCCTAAACCCTAACCCTAAACCCTAAACCCTAAACCCTAAGCCCTAAACCCTAAACCCTAAACCCTAAACCCGAAACCTCAAAAAAGGGGAATGAGGGCCTACTCTGGCTTCTAGTTGATATTAGGTCTATGCCGACTCTGAGGCTACCCAGAGTGGCCAGGGCCACGTCAAGACGTTAGGGACACGACAAGCCCTAAGCCCTGAGCCCTAAGCCCTAAACCCTAAACCCTAAACCCTAAACCCTAAACCCTAAACCCTAAACCCTAAACCCTAAACCCTGACCGTGTAGTGTAGTCTGTCTCTTGAACTGGGCTGCTGTTGGTGGAACTTGAAACAAGTTACCCGGCAAACTTGCAGCATTCCCTGAGAAAGTGGCACGAGTTGGGGTCTTAAGGTGTTGAGTTTGGGGTTAGGGTTGAGGGTTTAGGGTTTCGGGTTTAGGGTTTAGGGTTCAGGCGTGTTGTCTCCGGCTCGGCCTCTGGGATGGCAACTCCCTAAACCTTGGAAACTCGGGTTTAGGGCTTGGGGTTTAGGGTTTAGGGTCCAGGGTTTAGGGTTTAGGGTTTAGGGTTTAGGGTTTAGGGTTTAGGGTTTAAACTCTCAAGCAGCAACTTGTTCACGAGTTTGTCCAACGCTTGGTTGGCCTCCTTCTTCTCTTGGTGCATACGACCTTCTTCATGCTTCCTGCACGGGCACATGTTTACGTGTAGTTTCATGGTCCCTTATAAGTTGGTCCCTTACCCTAAAGTATGAGCCCTGGCGTTTTAGAGGGTGTAAAAAGGCATTTACAGGGGTTCCCCACTGAAGGGCCCATACTAGAAGGGACCATGTAACTACCCTAAGAACACAGACGAGCCCAAGGCAACATAGACAGTTCTCTAAGTGGGGGGGCCCTTGTATTTGGGGCACCTCAGAAGACTGGAAGGAAACTCAACAGTTCTCCCGAGCACAACTCAAACTACGGAAAGCACACATCCATGCTTCGGGCGTTGGACTTAGGGAAATGGCCAGAACAGAACGGACTCCCCAGCCATCCACTTCCTAGAACCCCACAGCAAGTCGAGGGTTTAGGGTCTAGGGTTTAGGGTTTTAGGATTTGCGGTTTAGGGTTTGAACCCCTTACCTCTGATGATGGAACGCTCCATCCTAGGCCCTAAAACCTTACAACAAGGCCGCCCCCCCCCCCCGCCCCAAGCGACCTGATTTGCCAGAGGTGGCCGCCAGTCCATACCTGTAGTTTTGGGTTTAGGGTTTAGGGTTTAGGGTTTAGGGTTTAGGGTTTAGGGTTTAGGGTTTAGGGTTTAGGGTTTAGGGTTTAGGGTTTAGGGTTTAGGGTTTAGGGTTTAGGGTTTAGGCTGCAGGGGCTTGGCCAAGAGTAACCTAGGAAAAAGGAGGGTGCCCTTCTTGGTTTAAAGGGGCTTCTAAGGGAGCCTTCATTCTAAAAGAGAGGGGAAATAAGGCCCAACTCTGGGTCCGAGGCTTAGAAAACCAGGGCTTTAGGGCTCTTCAACTCCTGAGGGATGTTAGGGCCAGCAAGGGTTTAGGGTTTAGGGTTTAGGGTTTAGGGTTTAGGGTTTCGGGTTTCGGGTTTAGGGTTTAGGGTTTAGGGTTCAGGGTTTAGGGCTTAGGGTTTAGGGTTTAGGGTTTAGGGTTTAGGGTTTAGGGCTTACAAAGCTTGAATTCGGCCCTCCTCTGAGCAACCTGGACGCAGGCTCCAATGAGGGATCCTTTCGGATTAACCCTGGACCCTAAGCCCACTCTTCCTTTGAGTGGCTTGGTACAGGCTCCTGTGGGGTTGGGATTTGGGCAGTGCGCAGCAGGTTTTAGGGTTTCCCTAGGCCCCAAGACCCAAGCCCCTGAAGCCCAAACCCTAAACCCTAATTAGGGTTTACGGTTTAAGGTTCAGACATTCAAGTTTCAAGCTGAAAAACTTCGGTGATCCCAGCACTGAAGCTTCGCGATGTGCACCGACTCAAGCCATGTTAACCGAAGGTGGTTCGTGTTTAGGGTTGCTGGTTTTGGGCGTAGAGGTTCAGGGTTCACAAGGTCATGGCATGAAACACCTGCGCCTTTCTTCCTTAAGCAAGACACCGCATGTCAGGCTTTGAGAACTCTTCACCAAACCACACCTCCTTCCAAGGGCGGGGTTTGGGGCTTAGGACCTCCCTTCTTGACATAGCTCTTCCAACACGAACCAAGGCGCCAACACTCCCGCGCCTCTATAGCAAAGCCCTACCAAACCCACAACCCCATGAACCGGAAATCCTGACCCCCTACAACCCTCCACCAAGAACCCTAAACCCTAAACCCCAAACCCTAAACCCTAAACCCTAAACCCTAAACCCTAAACCCTAAACCCTAAACCCTAAACCCTAGACCCTAGAATAGAACCCTGGAAACCCCACAACCCCCAGACCCCGCCTTGCAGTACTCGCAAAAGTGCTTCTTCTGCGACACCCACCACTCCGTCATCCCTGGGAGTGGGAGCCCGTTTTCCCGCCCCCCCCCCCCCCCACCCCAAGCGGGTACGTGGACTAGAGGGTTTAGGGTTTAGGGCTAGGGTTTAGGGCTAGGGTTTAGGGCTAGGGTTTAGGGCTAGGGTCTAGGGCTAGGGTTTAGGGCTAGGGTTTAGGGCTAGGGTTTAGGGGTGGAGGCCTTTGTCATTACGGGATGAGCTGTTGCTGGGGTTGGGTCTTGGGGTTGGGACTTCGCAAGCTTCGGGTTCCGGATTTGGGGTTTGGGGTTAGGGTTTAGGGTTTAGGGTTTAGGGTTTAGGGTTTAGGGTTTAGGGTTTAGGGTTCAGGGTTTAGGGTTTAGGGTTTAGGGTTTAGGGTTTAGGGTTTAGGGTTTAGGGTTTGAGGGGGCCTTGGTCAAGCCAAGCCAACAACAGAAACCCGAAAACTATGGCTTAGATCAGCCTCCAAGTGCAAAATTCGTAGCTAGGCAAACCCTGAACTCCCCACACCCCAGAGCCCCAAAAAACCCTAAACCTTAAACCCTAAACCCTAAACCCTAAACCCTAAACCCTAAACCCTAAACCCTAAAAACCCTAAACCCTAAACCCCCAAACTCCCTAACCCCCAAATCCCCCGACCTCGTTGGAGGCGCGGCTTCTGTAGAGGCCGTGGGCAAGGATGGAAGGATCGAGTCTGCTTGTGGCTTCAAAGCTTCCGTGTTTCAGGGTTTAAAGGAAGTCTGGTGTTTTGGCCTTGGGGTGTTGGGCTTGGAGGCTTCTTAAACCTCAACCCTAAACTTTGAGGGCTTTAGGGTGTACTTGGATCTGGGGAAGGTTTTTCGGGTCTTAGGGCTTTGTGCTTGGGTGCGCTTCGGCTGTGCGGATCTGTGCTTGAGCCAAAACAGGGTTTGGGGTTCAGGGTTCAGGGTTCAGGGTTCAGGGTTCAGGGTTTAGGGTTTAGGGTTTAGGGTTTAGGGTTTAAGAAGCCCCTAAACCCTCGTCGCAGCATCCCTTTCCGTCATATCCAAGAAGGCGCCCCAGGCAAACAAACAAGCTTCCCCCCTCCTGCACCTTTAAACCCTCAACCCTCAACCCTAAACCCTAAACCCTAAACCCTCAACCCTAAACCCTAAACCCTAAACCCTAAACCCTAAACCCTAAACTCCACCCGAGAACCTAACCCCTGAGCCTTAAACGCCCGGCGATGCAAAGCCTAAACCCTAAACCCCTAAACCCCTAAACCCCTAAACCCCTAAACCCCTAGACCCCTAAACCCCTAAACCCCTAGACCCCTAAACCCCTAGACCCCTAAACCCCTAAACCCTACACCCTAAACCCTTAAACCCTAAACCCTCCCTAAACCCTAAACCCTAAACCCTAAACCCTAAACCCTCCCTAAATTCCTAAACCCCTAAACCCTAAACCTAAACCCTGAACATATCCTCCACCCTAAACCCCCGATCCCTATCCCTGGTTGAGCACCCGATCTTGGACCCATTTTGAACCCCAAACCCCTAAAGGTCAACATGAACCCTAACCCCCTAAACGCCAAAATGAACTCTAAACACGTCCGGCGGGAACAGGCGCTTCGAGAATGAACGGCGGCGTTGACAGATTGAAGACTAAAAAAGCAACTGGGTACAAACCCTAAACCCTAAACCCTAAACCCTAAACTCCCAAGCCCCCAACTCTGCCTCGCACCAGCGCCAGGTGCACGATCTGAGCAGCCTCTGAGGCGGCCTTGCAGCTAAGACGACTTACCGGCGTCTGCCGCTGGCTTTGTAGAGGGTTTAGGGTTTTTTTAGGGTTCAGGGTTTAGGGCCCATTCAGAGCTTGAATGCTCCGAAACCTGAGCGCCAGACCCCTAGACCCTGAAGAACCTGATCCACAAAAACCCCGTAGACCCTGAAGCCCTAAACCCGAAACCCTAAACCCTAAACCCTAAACCCCTGGGTCCATCTAAACCCTCAAACCCCCAAACACCCTGAACATTGAGCCCTGAACCTCTGCCGTCGTGTAGGTGACAAGCGCCGAGCCACCGGAAGCCTCACATGTGGGTTTGGGGTTTGGGGTTTAGGGTTTAGGGTTTAGGGTTTAGGGTTTCGGGTTTGGGGTTTGGGGTTTGGGGTTTGGGGTTTTGGGTTTTGGGTTTAGGGTTTAGGGTTTAGGGTTTAGTGTCTAAGGGGTTAGAGGTTTAGGGCTTAGGGCATAGGCCTTAGGGTCTAGGTTTGGGGTTTAGGGTTTAGGGTTTAGGTTTGCAAGATATGATTGTACAATTGTACAATTTTACAGTCCACAAGAAATCAGGTCACCCGCGACATCCATCGAACTCAAAGCGTGAGGGTCAAGAAACCTGGGAGGGGGGCTTGGGGTGGGTTTAGAGTTTAGGGTTCCGGGTTCAGGGTTTAGGGTGTAGGGCGTAGTGCCTAGGGTTTAGGGGATCAAACCCTAACCTTGGTAGCGCCGTAACCAAATGATAACAAGGTTACTAAAGCAGGGAAAACGGTGCCACACAACCCTCAACCCCCGAAGCACAAAGTTCTACAGACCAACAGGCCCCGAAACCCCCAACGCCTAAACCCTCTAAACCCCCGCCCAAACCCTCTACCCTAAACCCTCGAAACTCAAACCTCAACCCTCAACCCTCAATCCCTCAACCCTACCCTAAACCCTGAACCCCAAACCCTAAACCCTAAACCCTAAACCCTAAACCCTAAACCCTAAACCCTAAACCCTAAACCCCTTCGCCTCGTCGATGTGATCGATGGAGACGATCTCGCCGTAGAAGGCGAAGACGTGGCGCAGGTCGGTCTCCTTCTACTCATGGGAAGGGTTTAGGGTTTAGGGTTTAGGGTTTAGGGTTTAGGGTTTAGGGTTTAGGGTTTAGGGTTTAGGGTTTAGGGTTTAGGGTTTAGGGTTTAGGGTTTAGGGTTTAGGGTTTAGGGTTAGGGTTTAGGGTTTAGGGTTTGGGGTTTGGGGTTTGGGGTTTGGGGTTTTAGGGTTTTGGGTTTTGGGTTTTGGGTTTGGGGTTTAGGGTTTAGGGTTTAGAGTTTAGGGTTTAGAGGTTCGGGGTTAGGGGGTTAGGGTCTTGAGGTTTAGGGCTGAGGGTCTGAAGGTTTAGGGCTGCGATTCTTAAGGTTCAAGATTTTTGGGTTTTAGGGCTTGAGGGCTTGAGGGTTTTAGGGTGTTTTAGGGTTTTAAAGTTCTAGGGTTAGGGTTTGAGGGCTTTGGAGTTTTTGGGTGTTAGGGCTTAGTTGTTGTTGTTTGTCTTTTTTTTTTTGGGGGGGGGGGGGGTCAGGGTTACATCTGCCCAGTTGTGCTAAGCATGGTCCGTATTTAGGGTTTAGGGTTCAGGGTTTGGGGTTAAGGGTTTAGTGTGTAGGGCTTAGGGTTCAGGGTTTAGGTTTCGCGTCTGGATTTGCTCGTGAGCTTTGGGTGTTCGCCAAAGAAGGTCTTCTCCCGGAAGCACACAAGTAAATTCTGGGACGCCCCTGCGGGAGGCCGAACTCAGAGCTCTGTAGACTGTAGACCTGTGTCTTGTAGCCCGGGATTGAAGCCCAGGTGCTCCTCTTGCCCCTCGTCCTCGAGGACTCCGCTCAAGATGAAGTCCAGCGGAGTCTAGTACTCAGCATCTGGATTCGCATGCACTTTCTTCAAACACCCAGTGACGTTCTCGAGCACCGCTGTCGCGGGCCTGTGTTGTTTTGTAAACCGGGACGCCTCTACGAATGGAGGGAGTCGCGTGCAGCGCGACCATTGGGAGCGAAAATCACCGGTACAGCATCATGCAGAAACCTGACCCTAAAGGTTTGGGAACCCTAAACCCTAGCCTAAACCCTAACCTAGCCCAAGCCTAAACCCCAAACCCCAAACCCTTAAACCCAAACCCCAAACCCTAAACCCCCAACCCTGAACCCCAAACCCCGAGCCCGAAACCCTAAACCCTAAACCCCGAAACCCTGGAGTCCGTCAGCTGTGGCGCCAAGTCGCAGACGAAGACCTCGAAAATCGGCTTGTGAGGCTTAGGTTTAGGGTTTAGGGTTTCGGGTTTAGGTTTAGGGTTTATCAGGAAACAGAGTTCAGGGTCTTCGGGTTGAGGGGTTGAAGGCTTCGAGGTGTAGGGCCGATAGACCAGTTTTGGAGGGTTGAAGGTTTGGCTTGAGGGCTAGGGGCCTAGGATTGCACGGCAATGTC